ATGTTTGCCCTTGGGTTTTGGTCTGTTTCTTTTATCTTCAGGTAATTATTTCCACAAGTGAGACAGTGCCTTCAGACATAGTTATTAAAAGAAAAGAAAAAAAAAATCCAAATAACTCCGTAGGTTTCCTCTTTGTTATTCTGTTTCAGTCTGTCTGGCAGCCCAGCCCAATATCTGAGCGTAATAAACACCTAGCAGGGTCCAAGCAACTAAGGGGAAATTGGACTTGCGGGCTCAGTGAGTAAAGTTTGTTTTAATAACACTGATTTTAGCATGATTTAGAGCAACCTCCACCTAAAAGTCACCCAATCCGTGCTCCAGCAGTGTGACTCATTTCTACTTCCACCATATGCATCACTGCCTTTCATTAAAAATGTGCTCCTGTTTAATTGCTACATCTTTGGCTCGCATTTGTCACCTCTGAGTACTGTTTTTGGTGAGGTCACATCCATCCATCACGGTGTAACACATATGATTACAATTATTAGTAGCTATGTTATGTTTTACATAATATTGCAACAACAGAAATATGACTTTCTTTGGCACACACCCTTCACAGATGAGATTACTCAACTAAAAACAATTGCTTTCATAGATAATGTTCAATAAATCATTCAATAAAACATGCAGCTTTCTGTAAAGGTTATCATAACCCCCAAAAAACTATTTAAATATTATTCCAGCGCCACTGCAGATTAGGTTTATTAGTAAAATATGCAAACTTGCGATTTTTTATTTTATTTATTTATTTATTTTTTATAATAAACAAATCAGAGAAGAACAATTTAAATAACTGAATACACAAGCAATAACACAAGCGCTTTCTTCAAATACCACACAAAATGATTTGAACTCCTTCCTTGCAAATTTGTCGCTTCCTCACAGACGGCATTTTTGCAGGTTTTTAGTGTCAGTGGAAGCAAAAGCATTACTGGACGCTGCCATGCTTCTTTGCTATAAGGATGTTTTTTTTTTTGTTTTTTGTTTTTTTTTTAGATCATGTTCTTCTCACCGCAAACGTGTTTTGGAGTTGTATCTTAAACACACCTGATGCAGCTATCATGTCTTCAGGTACGCCTGATCCACAC